TGAATTTGAGCTAAGAATACTTCGAAAAAACTCTCAGATATATTCCTAATTTTACATTTTTTTTTACTAACTAGATTACAACACTAATCTACTAGGCAGGAACCCAACAAGAAGAAGCATAAAGTGTCCGACCTTTCCAGCCTTGCAACAACCATTTACTATTTTCATCAACCACAAAGTCTTTATGATAACTCCATCTCTTCATCTTTTCCCTAAACGACTCAACCATCTCAGCCTTAACCGGTTTCTGCCTAAACCCGGCCCTAACCATCCTCACTTGCCACTGCTTGTATGTCTCTGGTCTCTCCACCCGATCCGCTTCCTCGCACGCTATCACGTTCATTGCCTCTCTCCCGTAAAACTCCCTCTCGAACCTAATCCTTTCTTGGTTATCCCGAGGCAGTGTTGAATCAAACATGTCGAAGAGGGCCGAGTAATGGTAAACCGCTTCTTTGAACCTCGAGGTGAAGAACGGTGCGTTAAAGGAACCGTTCACGATAGAGTGGATGAAAACATTTGGGTTCATGTTCCTTATAAGCTTCAAGACAGCATCTCTCGGGCAATTCTCTTCGCCTCCTGTTTCGTCTAGAAGGTTCTTGAGCCTGAGCCCGGCATTGACAGCTAGGACTTCGTTCGGTCTTATATCAAGGTCATCAATCCGAATTGTTTCCCAGTTCTGAGATGCAATGGCTTTGTACTCGAACGGGACCTTAAACCTTTTACAATATTCCGCCAATCTCCGTCCCGTCTCCTCTATTCTTTCCGCTGGACGGAAACCACGCTGAGGCAGCTCGATACCGGTGATCCGTAGTTTCCGCGGTCCATCTTTTCGATTCGATAAGTGTTGAATAAACATCGGCCATTGAAACCCGTATAGGATCCCAAAGTCGACTATATGAAGAACTGCAGCATCTTTAGCTGCTTCGAGAATCATCTTAATGGAGAAGAAGTACATCAAGGTCACAAACGGAGTTGAAGATAGATAAACTCGGTACGCTTTAAGTGTATCCGCAGCGGTTTCCTTCAATGAGGTTATAGCATTGTAATAGGTCTGAATCACTAGACCCGTGCTTCCCTGTAGACGCGCCTCAAGCGCATTGGCGAAACAGTGAGCGAGCCTCTGTGATGCGTCACCGAGAGGCGACGATTCTTGCCTTATCTGCAATAGCAAATCAAGAGCCGTGGTTTTATCGCCAGTAGAAATAGCTTGTGCACATTGAGTGAGAAGTGTACGGAAATCAACCACCTGACTCTTTGTGTTCTTCTTCCCTCCTTTCTTCCTATTACTCTGAATTGCTCGAATCTCGCCGTCTATAAGCGGATCGCATTGGCCGTCAAGTAGCAAAACCTTATCAAACATATCCGTTATCTTCCCGTCTTCCACATTGGCTGCAGATTGCTTACTGCTCCTAGTTTCCTCATAATCAAGCATTTCCCTTTCATGACTCTTCTTAACTCTCGAAGGATGATGATGATCTGATCTAATCTCTTCTTTAACCGAAACGGGCCTTTGGCTATTGATAACCCATACATCGCTATTGGGAAGGAATCTCCTAGCTTCCTCAAGACCTCTCTTAAACTGTAGAGCTGAATCTGCATCACTAAACACACTCCTAACAACAATTTCATCCACAGGTTGCTCGATATTCCGATCAGACAATACCGCGGATTCGATGGTTCTTCCACTTGCGACCCCAGAACTACTGCTACTAAAAGACTGAGATTGGGAATCAGTAATGACTTGCTGCAACATTTCTTGGGTTTTTCGTAAAGCAAGAGAATCATAGAACATGGATTGCTTGTCACCAATACTCTCTTCCATAAGGATCTGGCTCACGTATTTCAACAAGGTATCGGAGGAATCGTGAGAATACTCGTCTTCTGCTCTTAGATCCCAAACAGAAGATGGATCAGCAAGAAAGCTAGAGCTAGGGTTTTGATCGAAATCAGAAGAGGAATTGATAAAGAAATTCTCATCGTAGTCAGAGAAGTTGGGATCCATCATGAAAACCCTAATCGAGAGAATTGGTTGCTCTGCATAAAAAAGAAGAAGAAGAACCAGAGGAGGGTCAAAGGTTAACCAAATACTAG